CTAATTATAAATAAAATACGCTGGATATATGTTTTATTGTTTAGAGAAAACTTGCAAAATGTGATTTAAAGTAAAATAACACATTTCTAATGTTTCCTTTCTCCGTCATAATAACTGTTGTTTGAGTGCCGTTTTTGACAACAAATTATGTTACATTAATTTGACACAGAATTAATGTGATCACAGAAGAACTAATTTTTTAAACGCTTCCAAATCGCATCAGAAGAAAACGCTTTATGCCCATTGAAAGAAAAAACAAACTTTTATTACGTATATTATCACACAGTTTATAATATACGTCATCTTACAATGTCCAAACTCACACCTACTGGAACACACGTCTACATTATCATTTAGAGCTTCAGCTGAGTTCTGAGATATGTTTCTCACTCTTCCTTTTAAATAGCTACTTTAATAAAACAAAAATATTCTTTCCGACAGTTAGACAAACAATAAATTTACTATTTATTTCTTTTAACAAGAAATATTTAGTTTTATTCCAACACTTACCAGTTTTAGGGGCCTGGTATAGCGTGGGGACTAGGGTGCTCAATCTGCGTGTCTTAGGATCAAAACCCTGGTATAGCGTGGAGGATAGGGTGCTCAATCTGCGTGTCTTAGGATCAAAACCCTTCACTGAAGATATTTACCCTTTCAGCTGTGGGAGAGTTAAAATTTCAATCCTTCCATTCTTTGGTAAAGAGTAGACCAAGAATTGGAGGTGGGTGGTGTTGACTATCTGCCTTTCCTCCAATGCACAACTTCAAAATTAGGATCGAATAGCGCAGGTAGCTTTTGAAAAGCTTTGCTGGAAATTGAACAATTAAACAGACTAGTTTCAGATATCACTCTGTCCACATTCCAGAAGCAAAAAGTTTGCGTAATCTTTTGAAAGTTTACTGATTATTGTTCACGATAATTTATATTTGTTTATCCAACGTAATTAAATCAACATAACATTATATTTGTCTTTAGTTTTAGAATTACAGTATGCTTTGCAAAAAAGTGATTTAAAACATTTTGCTTTACTTTTTAACAGAGGGATTATTCTTTGCCCCACTTCACATTCATATTTATTCTTGAAACATAGTTGCCCGTTAATATGTAAAACCCAGTTTTATTAAGTTAAGTACTTATCACCTGGGAAAACGAAAATATAAACAAATGTATAGATAGAAAAATATTATTTCATATGCTCAGAAAAATGAATCACATTATTCATGTCTCGTCTTTTCCTTTAGTTCAATGCCCAGTCCAGTTCACTCTGTTCCATCTAGTCTATTACACTTTATTCTTCTAGTAAAATTAAAAGTATATGATTTAATCAGTTATCCATTGTAAAGGAGTATAATAGAGCAGCTGAGTGAAAACACTTAGATTATTTTGAAGATGTTGGCAACTTATATGTAAGGTCAAACACCATTCCTATTTATCTCGCTCTCTCTCTTATCTTTCGTAGCGGGTTTACTGCAGTTAATTATCAAATACGGTGTGACGAAATATTCTCCTGTAAACGTTACAGTATTGTTAAAATGTACCAATTGTATTTCGAAACGTTAAAACAATTCTGAGGTTTAATTATTAGTGTATTAGCGCCGGGCCTGACATGACTCATTGGTAACGTGGACGGTCCTTGAATACAAGGGATTAATGGTTTGTGTCCTATTACCGTCAAAATGCGCTCCGCATTTTTGGACAATGGGTGCACCATATCAATGACGGCCAAATAACGTGTACTATTCAGTTAGTGTACTTCTTTCAGTTATTCACACATCCCCTTAACATTGTCTCAGTAGAGAGTCCGGAGACTTAGGACGCTAAAAATCGGGTTTCGATGCTTGTAGTGGGCAGGGTATAGATAGCCTATTGTGTAGATTTGTGCTTAACCAACCAATCGATTATTCGCACAAAGCTACTAAAACGGTTATTTGCCTTTGCTGTTCTTATTTATGAAGTGACAGCCGGGAGGTAAGGGGACTAATCAACACCACCCACCGCCAAAGCTTCCGCTACGTTTCGTCCGAGTAAGTAGTGGGAATTAA